AAAATTACAGCTGAATTCCAAATTAGGAAAACAGAACAGTTGAGACTCCACAGCAAAAATTATCAAGCAAATATTCTTCTAAAATTGAGTTTACAATCCAATCTACAAAAGAGGTACCCCCAGCTAAAACTTTTCTCATTAGACAATATTTGTTGCTTGAATGGTACTACACTGGCCCAAAACAACTGAAAGACCATGAAAAGAAAATTAAACTGCAACAATTCTAAATTTTTAGAACCATCAAGCACTCTTTCACAATGACTATTAAAAAAAAAAAAGCACTCTTTTACAAGAAACAGGATAAGCAAGAATTATTGATAGGCATAGGCTCAATACTTTCAGTAACTCAAAACTTCCAATGTTTAAACATGATCATACACAAATAAGTTTAAACTACAGCCATATACGTAGTGTTTTCAAATATCAGTTCGGCTGAAGCTAATTTAAACTCCATAGGAAATTATCCAGGAAACTAGCCTAGTAAAAGACACCTCAAAAATTTAACAAAAACATAATAAACTCCATGCACAAGTTAAATATTTAAGACTTCGAAAGGATTAATCAACAAAGAAGCCCATTCATCCACATACAAATAGTACCATATATTAGATCAAGAAGATTAGGAGCATGCAAATGAAAGGACAAACTATCACAAAAACACAATAGTCATATGATAATATGACTAAATACCCACCTAAATACAAAGATGAGATATCATAAAAACAAAATTTTCTCCACCTGCTTATAGAGACCAAAAGAGGCCACTGAGCATAAAACACAGATTGGAAAGAAACTATAATCTGGCGTCAACTCATACACAGAACCTATGAAAAGAGAACTGGTAATCAGTATATGACGCAATCTTATAACCAACTAGAATACCAACATTTTACCTCAGTTATTAACATTAGAAATGAAAAGGATAGGTTCACAACCATAAACTATTAGGGAACTTGGCATTTATCATTGATTGTTTAGGTATGTATATATCATGTCAATAGCAATGACATTTCAATTTGAAGGAATAGGCACAATCATTCACTGCAAAGTCATACGCCACAGTGACATACCCACAACTCCTACCTCAATGTTAATTACTCATATGCAATCCATAAAGACAAAATATTTAACATGTTTCCTATAATCATATATGTTTAACAAAATTAGCAATTGACACTTTCATTTATATATACAGCAATGAGCATTTTTTTACTAGAAAACAATAAAATTTTTACCCACACAGATTAAATTGGGAAGAAAAAGCTTTGAAGTGTCAGAACAAAAGAGAACAGCACAAATTTATCAGACAGGGATAACTTTTATCATCATCCACAAAGCTTTGAACAGTTTAAAACCTAACAAAAACAAAATAAATACAACAGAACAGCACATCTGCATAACAATTATTTACCTAAACATGAATTAATCAACAAGTTTTGTGTTCAAAGTGATGCCTCAGACCGTCCTAGTTCATAAAGTTTCGACATTTCGCAAATACATAGATTTGCTTTCTGTCAACCAAAACCATCATCACTGGCAATCAAATGAATACACAAATTCCAGTATACCATAAAAATCATTCTACAACGGTACAACCATGCTCGAAATACACTATAAAACTTCAATATAAACATATGAACACAAAAAAAAATACCCAATAAAAATTACGAGTTACAGCATAATTGTGTCAGAATTAGAAATATCAGCATTGATTATCAGACAGGGATAACTGTTTTATTTCATTCTTTCATCATCCACATATGCAGTAATTCATCATAACAAAAACAAAAAAATTAGATTTTTTTAGCAGCAAACAGAAGAAAAATTACACAAGACAAGTTATGATAGAGGCATCAGCTCTTCCTATTCAACTAAACAACACAAATCCCAATTCATTAATTGGGTTTTTTCAGATCAAGTCGATAGACTTCGTCATTTGCCTCTAATAAAAAACAACCAACAAAACTAAAGGCTGATGACATCAACAATTTCCTAAGCGAAATCAAGTTCAAGTTTTCTAGACATCTAGTTAACAACGATGACAAAACACTTTAAAGCAAAAAACTTAAAACCCAACTTATAGAAGAAGTGTCGCCGCTATGGCTAGAACGGAAAGCGTGGTGTATATATAGGGTTTTAGGAGGGTTTAAAGGATTGAAGAAAATGTGAGAGATGAAGAACTGGTTAAGTATTAGGGTTTAGATCCAATGGATGAGATTGACTATCATAATCAATGGATTTGGATCTTTTCTTTTTATAAGCCCAGATAAAAAGCCTGTCAATTTGCCAGGCTTGGATATGGCGTATGTTGAAATTTTTACAGAGTGGCCCATTCTGATAACTGGATAAAATTTCTTAGGTATTGTTTGGGGGTATTTAGCTTTTGGTTCCTGTAGAACATATACAATGAGCGTTTAGTCCAAAAATAATGTGTAAAGAGCTTTTGGTCCTACTTCTGTTACTTGACCGCTAATCAAACTTTTTGACCGGAGTCAACCCATCCATTTTTTATATAATACCCAGACTACCCATTCTTTTGGACCAAAAACTCATTAGATATAT